ATAAAAGGCTTTGGACTCTTGTGTCCTCAGGTAGTTTTTCTTGTGCCTCCTTCTTCAAAGCCCTTTGTCGTTCAGTGTCTGCTCCTCCTTTCCTTTTTAAGGAGGTTTGGTGCAAATCTGTTCCCCCTAAGGTCTTGGCTTTCTGTTGGGAAGTGTTTTATGGGAAAGTAAACACCTTGGATAATCTACAAAGGAGAAGATGCTATCTCTGCATTTCACCTAATTGGTGTACCCTTTGCAGATCCCATGGTGAGTATTGCAACTATTTGCTAATTTTCTGTACTGCTACAGCAGATTTGTGGGATTGGCTCTCTTTGATTTTTGGATGCAGGTGGAATAGGCCAATAGATGTAAGCTTACCTTTTGACCCTTCTGCTTTTGCTTTGCGCGATTGAAGAGGAAGAATAATGTGGAGGGTTGCAAGATTAGCAATGCTTTGGACAGTGTGGGAAGAAAGGAATGCTTGGATATTCCAAGAGAAGGCGCGAAGCCAACAAGGTTTGAAGGACTATATCCTGTATAGGGCTATAGCGTGTCTAAAATCTTCAGAGTTATTTCAACAGTTTTCTTTTAATGACCTATAGAGGCATTGGGCAGAAGTGGCAAGCAGTTCCTCATTGAAGACAATGCTGCACATGAGCTGGGTACCCCTCCACCGCCACCCCACCCCACCTGAAGGTTTCCTGAAATTAAATTTTGATGGGAGTAGCTTGGGCAACCCAGGCCCTTCTGGGATGGGATGGGTTATAAGGAATGTGTTACGAGATTATAGGTTGTAATTATAGGCTGTAATTATGGAGTATTAGCCCAATTAGGAATAGCTTGATTATAGGAATTATTCTTGGAGGAGGTAGTTGATTTTCTTCCTATTTTAGTATCTACAAGGCTGTATATATATGTACTATTTTCGCAGTTGAAAGGGACATCAATTTCTTCCGATTCTTGTTCTATCACAGAATGGAAGTGGTTCTGTGGCTCTTTTTTTTTCAGGTCCTTTAGGTGAGGGGGACTCCCTGAGGGCAGAACTTTTAGCTGCACTACAAGGGGTACAGTTTTCTGTACAGATAGGAGTGAAGCAGTTACTAATAGAAGGTAATTCTAAGGTGTTCGTGGGGTGGTTACAGAATTCAAAGACTGTAGCTTGGTGCTTCAGAAATGAACTTAAAAGATTCAAATGCTTGACAAGAAACTTGTATGTTAGAATACAATGGGTAGGGAGATCTGCTAATGCTATGGTTGACTATTTAGCAAAGCAAGGGGCAGCGAGGGAACATTTGTGTTGTGCTCAGTTGTAATCTTTTTTAAGTGTTTGTAGGGTTGGAGAGGTTGCATCTCATGTCTCTCCAAGTGTCTCCTGTAAAAGTTGCTTCTATTTTCTTTCTCTAATAAATTCTTCATTTATAAAAAAAAGTAAATTAAATACTTTAGGGTCATTTAATTAGACCCTGAAGTAAGGCCCTTTTCAAACTTTAGGGTCGAAAGTGGCCTTTTTCAAACTTTAGGGTCGAAAGTGGCCTTTTTCAAACTTTAGGAGTGCCACATAATGTTGTCTAATGGATCTGTCAACGTCGTTTGTTTTTGCCTACAAATGGCCCTTTTATCAAAGTCTAGGGTAAAAAATGGCCCTTTTTATTCTTTAGGTTTGAAGTTGCCCTTTTAGTACCTATAGTTTATATTACTGCATATCATACATATGTTATGAATTAAGTCTTAAGACTACAGAGTTTGGCTCATCTATTATTTATTAGTTAGTACCCTATTGGAAAACCAGGTGTCAACTTGGGTGAGTTGCTGAATTGATTAAAAAAAATATTGCCAACCTGGTCAAGAGTCATGGTTAATTAGGAGGATAAAAAATCAGCTAAGACTCTGTCCAATTCAGGTTGAGTTTGACTTGGTTGTAATATCCTTAATTTGTTAATATATAAACCCAAGATGTTGGAAACTTAAAATTTTCAACAATGATGCTATTTCCCCACAAGTTCTGATATTTTCCCTGTTTTTTTACCATTTTTACACTAAAAACACTCTTTAGTGTAAAGCTTGTCCTCATCTTGTTCCTATTTCCTCTAATTTAAGGTGTCTTTATGAAAGAAAAAAGGTATTGTAGTAACTCTCTTGCAATGGTTGCAACTTTGTATGCATCTACATTTGTTTTGTTTCATTTGGTTCGACTCCCAAGCATGTGAAAGACTGTACTTAAAAAGTATTTCAATCCGTGGTTCCTTTTGTGTGTATGTTGATCATTTATCTGAATCATAGATGTCTACCTGCAGCTATGCGTTGATCTCTCTCAAACTTGATTCACAGGCTCCTGTTACGGGCAAAGAATCTTTGAGCCAGAGGACAGGAAATAGACAATCCCTTCATACTTCCGGTATGTGGACATCATGTTTAGAGTACATCTTTTTCCAGGGGTTGAATTGGTTTTGAGGTTGTGGACATGGTAGCACTGAATGGTTAAGATTTAGATTAACAACACATGCATTTTCTTCTTTTCTTTTTTTGTGTAGGATCTGATTTCTTCCTGAAAGCTTCAGAGAGGAGACTTAAGCAGAGACAACAAAAAGAGCAAGACGAAAATGATTTTCTAGAAGGAGGCAATTTGAGTGAGTCAATTGCTCCCTATGCATATTGATTTATTTAAAAAATATGGCATTTAGGAGCATGGTTCTTTCCTATGTTAGACACCAGGGGTCATCAGAACTTCTGCATCCATCCAATGACAACTTGTGAGACTTCCTCCAGTTCTATTCCCCTAAAAGCTCCATCATCTTGGGGTTCCCAAATAAGTACCCATGAATCCGAGGGGTTCCCTGGGCTTAAGTTTAATGATTGTTCCTTGCTTATTCCTGCTTGACAAAATTAAGGTGGCATTTTTGGAGAAAACTTTGATGGAAGAGCCAATATTTCTCCAGCCTAATAGGCATCATGGAAGCCAATTAAATTGAGGTGATGGCTCTTCTTAAAGGTCCCGTAGCACATCAATCTAGCTTAACTTTCCTGGTGAAAGAAGGAAAAGAAAAAAGAGGATCATGGGAGGATATGGAGAGTGGTTTAGAATCATATTCATTTTTCTTTTACAAGTTGCAATAATTTTTTTTTTTTTTGTGACAAATTTAGAGATCTTTAAAACCATTCCTATAGGAGTGCCAACATACACACTAGATCTTTCTTTGTGCATGGGAAGTGCTTTTAAACTTCTACCCTTTTCTTGGCATAATTTCATCTGATTTCTAGGGGTGTTCATTTCTGTTATTTCTAGCCCAGCCCTGCCTACCCTACAAATTTCTAGGCTTGGACCTAGATATTTTTTTTGATAATTCTTGGCCTAGATTTTGTGTTTAGCCCCACCCTGGGCCCCATACTCTAGGCCTGGCCCTGAATCTGCTAATATATTATTGATCATATATATTTATATACATATAAAAATGTCTATATTATATATTGTATCACCTAGGAGTAACTCCTATAGGTGATAAAATGAGTGAACATAGACTAAGATGGTTCGGTCATGTGTGCAGAAGATCATCAACAACACCTGTAAGAAGTTATTTGTTGTGAATTTATGGGGCTAGAAGGGCTAGGGGTAGGAAAAAAAGGATATGGGTAGAAGTAGTTAAAATTGATTTAAGCGCCACTGCGCCAATAATTTAACAATGGATATGGCATATATATATATATATATAACAAAATAGGCCATGTCAGCAGGCCTCTCCTTTCTCCCATTCCCCAACTGAACCTTCTCCTTCATTGACTCTCTCTCCAAATTATACCCTTCCTAGCTCTCTTATGTTGCCATCTCGTTCCCAATCACCTAAACCATCTCCCCTCCTTATCTCCCCCATCATCTATTAAAAAAAAGCTATCTCCCCTACCCAAAACACCTTCTAATCTATATCACATGAACAATAAACCATCTAATTCTAACATCTCTTTCCCTTCCCCCTTTCTTTCTATCTATCTATTTCTATTTCTATTGCTCTCCACCTTCCTTATCCATGCATTTAAGTTTCACCAATGTATTAAAATATTAATGTTTAAGTTAAAACTTAAATATTGAAATAAGATGAGTAACAAATATTCAAAATAAGAAAAAAATAAAGTAATAAAATTTAATAATTAATTAAAAATCTTATTACAATTATAAATAATATTTTAATATTATTATAATATATATATCTACCTGGGACATTGTGGGGCCCACACATTCACTATTTGTATTGAAGTTGAAACACTACAATGTTCGCTTGGTGAACACAGTGACAAGATGGGTTAAGATGACTCTAATGGATTGGATCATTACGTAACTCCAGAAGATTACCCTAGTTTATTTAGTTATCGATTCAAAAAGATCTTGATTGATTTGGTTTGGTTTGTCAAATCTGTTATATAAGTTTTTAGTACAAATATCTCTTGAAAATAAATATCAGAAACACTATTAATTAACATGTTTTTGTTAAAACATTAATTTTGTAAAGAGACTGGACCGAATGGGTTCTAGTATCTTCTCTTGTAATATCTTTTCTTTTCTTGTTGGCTAATGGGCTTGTTATTTCCTTTTGTTTAATCTCTTTATGTTACTGCCTAGCTRGCCGCCCACTTAAGGGCATACTTGTCATTACTCTAACATTAATTCTTAATAAAAAGGATTAGAGGAGAAAGGGAAGATAATTTTGAATCTTCTTCTTCTTCTTTTTT